TACTTTACATTTATTACCTCATTTAATAATTAAACTAGGCATGAAGATAATGAATAACTTACTGGCAGTCACAGAACTAATAAGTAGCAGACAGGATCCAAACCCAGGTAATCTAGTCTCTAATCAATTACTAGCCTACACATTTCTCATAGGATAGAGTTAGTAATATTAATATATTTTCAACAATTCCAAATGCACATTCTTCTCTTTTTAATATCTCCGAAAACAGAATATATCTTAAAATAGATAGCATCTTATAAATTGGCAGTACTTTTTTCTTTCTTGGTAATACATAAAGTCATGTTACAGCTTAGAATAAATGATGTATTATTGTTTTTTATGAAATGCACATACTCACTAGATCTGTTACATTAAATCAGTGATTTTCAATCTTCTTCATTTCATGGCACACTAATTACTAAAATTCTGCAGCACACCAAAAAATATATTTTTTTTGCCCATCTGACAAAATAAAAAAGGTAATTTTGATTCATTCACACCTGATGGATACTGTTTATGTTGGCTATTGTCATTTTTTAATTTGACAATCTAAGGGAAAAGAGGTCAGTGCCCCTGACTAGATATTGCATTATCTTAAAATTTTTTGTGGCACACTGCTTGAAAATCGTTGCATTAGATCTTAATGAGTTATATAGTATATTAAAGGTATCCTGAAAGAATGGGAATTCCACAATCATAGGAGGTAACAGTAGAGTTCTAACTATTTGAACAGTGTGTTGCAATCTACTGAGATTTACCTATTCCTAATTATGTGGGTCTGCAGATTCTATCCAGTTTAATGGTACCTTGAAGAAATTAGTCACTGAAAATAATAGTACAAATGCAAAGTATAAAGAGAATATTAAGAAAATAACAGCAGTCGAAACTGGTTTGGCTCAGTGGTAGTGTCAGTCTGCGGACTGAAAGGTCCCAGGTTCGATTCTGGTCAAGGGCATGTACCTGTGTTGCGGGCACATCCCCAGTAGGGGGTGTGCAAGAGGCAGCTGGTCGATGTTTCTCTCTCAGTGACGTTTCTAGCTCTCTATCTCTCTCCCTTCCTCTCTGTAAAAAAATCAATAAAATATATTAAAAAAAAAGAAAAGAAAATAACAGCAGAGAAATTTAAAATATAATTTGATAAGAACTGTTTAAAAAAATTCTAAAGACCATTCAAATTATGGCATTATATGAACCTTACTTTAAGTGTATATTTGAGATATTATCTAATGATAGTAGTACATGTGTATATATTATAAACAAACACTTGGAAGTGTATTTGAAATTTTTCTTACTAAAAAGATGCACAACTAAAAGATTTAGAGATAAATGGAATAATAAAACTCAATTCTGGCCTTTTAAAAAAATCCCTTGGTAAGGTTTCTTTTTGTTAAATAAAATGTTATATTAAATAACATCATCTCACAACTGATGGTGGTGGTAGTGGGAGGGAAGTGGTTTGTGCAGAAAAAGGAAATTACAACTGCATTTTACACGATAAAGGCACCAATAAAAAGTATGGTTAAGATTCTGTATTTGCAAATAAGGGTACTTGCTGAAATTCATCTGTAATTTCAAAATAAACATTCAGAGGCACTTTCTCAGTCTCTCAAAGGTATGTGCAGAACAGGGAAAAACTTGAGTTGCCCAATGCAGTCCCAGTTGAGGTAAAACAAGGAGATGCTTTTACATTGTTTCAGTTCTCATACTGTAGTGTCCTTTTGGCAGTATATATAGTTCCATGTTATTTGCTTTTTGCTCTTTTTGTTAGTGACTTTGCTGTTTAAACTGGCTCCCAAGTGTAGTGTTGAAGTGCTATCTAGTGTTCCCAAAAACAAGAAGGCTGTGATGTGCCTAGAGGAGAAATTGTGTATTACATAAACTTCATTCAGGCATGAGTGACAGTGCTGTTGGCCATGTGTTCAATGTTAATAAAACAATATATATTAAATAAGGTGTCTTTAACAGAAACAAAAATTTTAAAAGTGATATAATGACTAGAGGCCCAATGCACAAAACTGGTGCAAGAGTAGGCCCTGGAAGCTCCAGGTGCCTCAGCCCTCGCAGCCCAGCTGCCTTGCGGCCCTGGCCCCCACCTACCAGTCGTTCTACCATCCAGTCTAATTAGCATATTAGCTCTTTATTATACAGGATTGGTTTATTAAATTGTGACAAAGGCTTGCAGAAACCTAGCTTTGTATTTCACCTGAGAGCTATGATTCAGTATTCACTAACTTAGTGTTTATGGTGACTTTATAGAACGTAACTACTGAAAATAACCAGAATTAACTTACATCCCTGGCCTTTTTTATATTAATATGAGATTTGTTTGCCTTATACTCTGTTCCAACATTTAAGTTAGACCACTACATTACACTTATTAGTTTCTGAATTTTAAGTGCATTGTAATTGAGTTATTTATTTTCAGTCCTTTTATATAAGAGGGGAAATATTGGTTGTATTAAAATTACACATTACAAAAAGTTTGTTTCAAATGTGCTCAATTATACTTTATTGTTTCAGCTCAAAGAGGCTCTCATAAAGTCACTAATATTGTTTGCATAGGCTGTGACATAAATATATAATAATGTATATTGTACAGCTGACTCTTGAACATTGTTGGGGTTGAGGTGCCAATTCCCCCAAAACTTAACTACTACAATCTTACTGTGACCAGAAGCCTTTCTAATAACATAAACAGTATCTTGTATGTTATATGTATTACATACTGTATTCTTAACTTAAGCTAGCGGAAAGAAAATGTTATTAAGAAAATAAAAACTGGGCCTATGTAGTTCAAACCCATGTTCAAAGGTCACCTGCATTACCAATATAATCGGTTTCTCTGCTTTACCGTCATGTAACATTGATTATTACTTGGAGCCAAACATCACGAACCTCAATGAATTAGGCAGCTTCTTTTAAAGACAAGATTACAATCCTCTAACTAGAACAATCAAAGTCACCCATCTTGTAAAAGGCCCCTTTTGAATGAAATCTCCCCAGATAGGAAGCAGCTTCTACAGAAGAAGTAACCCTATGTAGGTGAGTCAGTCTAGTACAGTGACTTTCAAAGTAGAAAGATCTGGAGGTAACCCCAATTATATGAGGCCAATCCATACATAGAGTGGGGCTATGTATAGGATTTTATGAAAGATCAAAGTAGAGAATAAATAGAAGCTAAGAAAACAGGAGAAAATTACAAGCCACTTGGTAGCCAAACAAAAAGTTCACACTGAAGGATATCTAAAAACATAAATGCCAGTGAGAAATGTATTCCTGCTGCATAAGAGTCTTCTATAGTTTATTTTGACTTTTTTTTTTTTTTTTTTTTTTTAACTATCTTGGTATTCCTGAAATACTTATGTTCTGGTGAGATCCTGCTTTTTAAATCCCATGACCTACAACCATCAACCACTACTCCTCATCCCCTTTTGAAATAGCTTATCCCAAACAGAGGTTGGAAAATTGTATTAGAGAATGAAAGAATCAAGCATTCCAGAGTGTGACTGGGGGAGTTGCTAGACAAACTAGGGTCCTTTCTAACCCCAAAGTCATGATCCTACTTATGCTTCCTTTAACACAAGTCCACATAAATTTACCATCACCAAGTAGTAACTCCTTTTATAGACCCAAAATGGTCCTTTAAAGGAGTGTGCCCTAGTTCCAATACTCTTAAGTTTTCCTGAACATCCTCATTTTAACTTTATGACTTTACAGATTTCAGTAAGTTTTCTTAAGTCTTATTTCCAAAATATAACATCTTCATATTTTTTTTAGTATTTTATATCAAGCTCTCTAGCACTGCTAACCCAGTGGAATATTTTATAGCACATATACTGCATTGCAATTTTTTTTCTTTTAAAATATATTTTTATTGATTTCAGAGAGGGAGGGAGAGGGAAAGAGAGAAATATCAATGATAAGAGAATCATTGATTGACTGCCACCTGCACACCCCACACTGGGGATGTGAGCCCATTATGTGCCCTGACTAGGAATCCAAGATGCTCAACCTCTGAGCCACCCCAACCAGGTTGCAATTTTTGTTTTTTCATTGAGCACTGCTCCTTGAGTGTCTCTCTCTGTACACAAACATCTCATTCCCTTTAAAAGGCTGGTATGTTGTTCCATTACACAAATGTATCACAATTATTAATGGACTGTGGGTGGGTTGCTTCCAATGATTTATTATTACACACAATGCTATGAGTCAACATCTTTTCACACGTGTTACCTGTAAGTATGCAACAGTAGCTGCGTTATTACTGGATTATTTTAAATTGCTACTTTCTGAGCTTAAGTATGTCTGGAAAGAAGAACCAAGACTAGAAAGCACTCAAACTCTCGCAGCGGATGCAAATATATTTAGCAATAAGTAACTTTCCACTAACTATAAATAAAAGACTTGGAAATTTTTCTGTCCTCTCAGGTGCAGAGGCAATGACCCACCAGGACCGGAGACTTCGAGCATGCCTTTGATAATGTGCACGTAAAATTTAGAAAGGACATTTAAAAAAGATGAAGAAGTTGTTGGTGGTGGTGGCTGTTTTTGTTTTGTTTTGTTTGTTTGTAAATTAGAGTTCCCAGGTCCAGGGCTCCCACGCCAGGAAAGCACTTCAATTATTGAAGCATTTTAGAAACCTCGGGTACGAGATTAAGAAATAGTAAACGCTTAAGAGGTGACGCTTTGAAACTTGGGTGTGATTCCTGAATATCCCCAATATCCGAAAGTTCAAAGGTTATTGATGTGTGCTTTAAAAAAATATTATATATGCGTATGTACTTAAAAAAAAAAAAAAAGATAAACACTCCACAGCTCCTTGGACTCACCCCACTCTCCGGCCGGCCGGGAGGGGACTCGAGCGGCGCCCGAGCAGCATCCTCCCAGCAGCCCCGCCCGCCGCCCGCCGCCCGCCATCGGGGCCGGGGCCGGGGCCGGGGCCGGGGCCGGGGCCGGGTCGGTAACCGCCGGGCGGCCAGCGGCCGTCCCGGGGGACTCACCTCAGCTCTTCGTCGACACTCTTGCTGGGCTGCTGCTCGGCGGCGGCGACCACAGAGGACGTCGTAGAGGTCTTGTTCTTGAGGATCCCCTTAATGGGCCGGTGCGAAGCCGTCGAGGCCGCCATTTCCCGCCCCTTCGGCGGTAGGCTCAGGGTCGCTCCTGGGCGTCGGGTCCGAAAGGAAAGGGGTGGGCGCGAGCCGAGACGCGCCCGGCTGCCGCCGAGCCCGCCCCGGGCTAAAGCGGCCGCACCTGCTGTCGCGGAGGCGGCCACCGGCGTCGTTCCCACGACACAACGACCCCCGCGTTTCGGCGTCCAGCCGGCGACGCGCGGGCAGGCGGTTCTACGCGCGCCCCCGGCCACCGATGCTGCACCGCGGGCGGCGGGGAGAAGCCGGCCTACGGCTCCAGCGCGGGAGCGACGCCGACGCCGAAGCCGGGCGAGCCCGCCCTCTCGCGATATCTAGGGGAGGCGGGGCGGGGCGGGGCGGAGATGGGCGGGGCTAGAACAAAGCCAACCTACTGGTCCCGCCCCCTCCGGGGCCTCTCCGTGGGCTGGCCGGTACCACGGGCGCGGGAGCCCAGGAGCCGCTTCAGAGAGCCTCCGGAGAGGTCCCCGGCTGCCTCTGTGCAGAGCTGTACATCTCTCCACGCACCCGCAGCCCCACCAGCGTAGGAAGTCCATGTTGTGATCTCTGTGTCTTACAGGTGGGGAAGCTGGAGCTCAAAGGTGACATCATTCCTCAAAGAGCCTGGGTGACTTTCAGAGAAAGAAACCTCACCTCTTTCCTGACACTGAAAGTTGAACACTGTTATAGGCCGAAACCGGTTTGGCTCAGCGGATAGAGCGTCGGTCTGCGGACTGAAAGGTCTCAGGTTCGATTCCGGTCAAGGGCATGTGCATTGGTTGCAGGCACATCCCAAGTAGGAGGTGTGTAGGAGGCAGCTGGTTGATGTTTCTCTCATTGATGTTTCTAACTTTCTATCCCTCTCCCTTCCTCTCTGTAAAAAATCAATAAAATACATTAAAAAAAAAAAAAGTTAAACACTGTTATAAAACCGTGGCATGTCAGCTTTGAAAGGATCCTTGGGGTCCTATTGTGAAATCACAGAATACTGACTTTTATGAAATCATAGAATATCAGCATTGAAATAGTCTAATTTACTTTTAGAAATAAACTTGGGAGAAATCGAAGGACAGAGAGGGGCAATGACTTGACCACTCTGTCACACTGCCCATCCACAGTGCATGGTCATAGAACTTCAGGTTTGTAGTCTGATGTTTGCACACTTTACCACATTCTCCTTCTGTCTTGGTAATTCCAAGGAAGGTATTACTGGCAAAAGTTCCTATAATTGTGGTTTATAATGTCTTCCCCCCAAAATCTAGGGAATGCAGTGTTTCCTAAAGTGTGGTACGCGTACCCCCAGGGGTACGGGAAGAGTTTGGTGGGGGTACGCATTGCACCGGAGTTTGGTGGGGATGTGCACTGCACCGTGCTTAGCTGCGCCTAATTCTATGTTCTCATGAACGTACTCTCATGAGTACGAGGGGAACTCAGCATTACGAAAATTATAGAAGGGGTACACATATGTCAAAAGTTTGGGAAATACTGATGACACTATGTGAATTAAGGTAAAATAGGCCAGAAGCCTTGGAAGCTATCTAGGTTTCTTTGTGAAAGTCTCAAAGAAGAAAAACAAAAACCAAAACCCTCATACACTCTCTCCAAGTTTTTCTGTGCCTGGGTGTAAATAAAAGATCCCAAGGAGGACTTTGATAAGAGAGAAGGAAAGCGCAAGGCTCTAGGGCAGGGGCGGGGAACTTTTTTCTGTCAAGGGCCATTTGGGTATTTATCACATCATTCGTGGGCCATACAAAATTTCATCTTAAAAAAATTAACCTGCTATATTCGGTCAGACATTTAATCAACTCACTCCTAAGGCCTTGTCAGGGCCAGACCAAATGATTTTGAGGGCCTTATATATAGCCCCTGGGCCAGATGCTCCCCACCCCTGCTCTAGAGTGTGAGGATGTGAGGCATGTCCAAGTTGGGAGTGGTGTGGATGTCATGAGGGGAGGCGGTGCTGTGGAGAATAGGGAAGGGCAGAATTTCAAAGCCCTGGGAACAATCTCAGAACTAAATGTTGTACCTAAAATTAAGCATGGGCCAGCAGAGGGAGTGATGTCCACTATAGCCACCCAGCCTCTCTTCATGCAGTGTCAGTACTGGAAATGCATAGTTGGGAAAAGAGGAAGTCTCAGCCATTAAGCAAGTTGCTTCCTATTATGTGTTGAATTACGTGTCCCCCTAAAATTAAGCTATAGTGAAGTCCTCACTCCCAGTACCTTGGAATATAACCTTATTTGGAAACAGGGTAATTGCAAATCAAATTAATTAAGTTAATATGTCACACTGGAGAAGGGAAGGCCTCTAATCCAATATGACTAGTGTTCCTAATAAGGTGGACATGTGGAGACAGGTGAGGAGGACTCCATGTGATGACAGCGGTTCTCAGTGATGCATCTGTAAGCTAAGGAACACCTGGGCTACCCACGGCTGGGAGATGCATGAAGCAGATTCTCCTTTAGGACTCTCAAAAGGAACCAGCTTCGTTGATACCTTAAGTTTGGACTGTGAGACATCAAATTTCTGTTGTTTAAGGACACCCAGTTTGTTGTATGTTTGTTATGACAGCCCTCTACACCTCCTCCCCTTCTACTCCTACCTCGGGTCCCCACCTGCCGCACCACCAGGCTTTTTCTCACCACTCTTTCCTGGTCAGGCCTCTTCATCATCCTTATGACAGTCCAGAGCAGACTAGTCCACCCAGACCTGGCTCCTCAGCGCACCCGCCCCCTGTGAATTCACAGACTACCAGGTCTGGAGAGGGCCTTGTCCATCCCACCAGGCAGCTATCCAATCCCCTCTCCGACAACCCCGGTGGCCAGGGGCTCACCACCCTACAACACAGCTCATTCTGTCTTTGGACAGCTCTGACGAAGAAAGCTTTTCCTCAGGTTGAGCTGACACCTCGCTCCCAGCAATGTCTAGCCACGGGTGCCAGCGGTAGGAGGAGAGAATGAGGATGGGGCAGGGCTATCTCTATCTTACCCCCCTGGCAGTGTTCTCACTCACGTCTCCTGTTTCTAGGCCCCAAATCTCACCTGCCGGAACTCCGTATCTGTGCCTGGAGGAGCAACATTTAGTTCATCGGCCTTAGGGCTCTGCTCCTCAGGAACAACTTCAGGGTGCATGAACACAATTCTGTTTTTGTTGCCTGGCCCCCAGCCTGTAGCTGAGTTTCTGGCCTCGGGAAAGGGATGAATGCCAAACGGAGATAACAGAGGAGGAAGTGAGCAGGCAGGATAGAAGAGCAACCGCTGTTTACCAGTCAGAGCTGCTGTTTTCCTTGGCGATTTCCCCAAGCAGAGGCCTTCACAGCCACCTCCTGGCACCTCCCTCTCTCGGCCTCACTTCTGTTTCTGGCCACAGCTTTCCCACCATGTGGTGGGTCTCACATCACACTCTGACAGCCCTGCCCTGCCCTGCCCCGGAGGCAGAGAGAGGGTCCTCCCTGAGGGGTGAGCAGGATGGTCCCCTCCCTCCCTGTGTCCTTTCTACCGCAGGTTACAGCACATGCCTCCTTTGCCCTGCCAGCTGGAGCTCCAGTCAGCGGTGCTCATCCTGTTTGAAAGGGAATACGTAAAACTTCCCTCCGTGTCCTAAATTATTGGGCTGCTTTGCTTTGCTCCTTCCTGGGTGTCACCACCCTGGACCTAGCCTTGACAGGGCCCTTAATTCAGCACCACCTTGCTGTCTGTCAGACACGCTAATGAAAAGGACTGCCACAGCATGACACCCTGTGTTTTATTACAGTTAATAACACACTGGAATGGGAGTTCTCTGAAACATTTTGAAAAACGTCTCCCTTATTAAAAGTCAAACTTTTGCTTCTTGCATTATTTCTTCCACTCTGAACCCCACTCAAAGTGCATGCAGATGAAGAGGGCTTTCTTAATTAAAAAAATATATATATTTTATTGATTTTGTACAGATAGGAAGGGAGAGAGATAGAGAGTTAGAAACATCGATGAGAGAGAGTCATCGATCAGCTGCCTCTTGCACACCCCCTACTGGGGATATGCCCGCAACCAAGGTACATGCCCTTGACCGGAATCGAATCCGGGACCCTTCAGTCCCCAAGCCGACGCTCTATCCATTGAGTCAAACCGGTTTCGGTTGTTTTTTTTTGTTGTTTGTTTGTTTTTTAAAATAAAATATTAGTGTGACTAAATTTGTAAGTGCCCGTACAGCTTGTCTTTATTTTATAGAATCATGGAACCACTGTATTCCTCAGTATAACCCAAAGAAAATTGCCAAATGCTTCTAAACAGAGCTCTCCTTCGATGCCTCGGCTGAGATCTGCTCTTGTAGGAGGTCATCTCACCCACGCCCTGGACGTTGCTGTATTTGTGTTATGTTTCCTGTGTGTCCAAGAGATGGATTGTGAACAGAACCTTCATTCTGCTTTCAGTTTTCGGAAGTAGCTATTGAGCTCAAGGCAAATCATATATTTAAAAACACATACGCATTTGAGGCTTAGCTGACAATTATTTCTTCTCTCTTTTTGAAGACTTCATCGGTTGTCTGATTCAACACTGTTTACAGGCAAGAGAAGAGGAAACACTTTTAATGTACCCCCTGAAGTGGCTGAGCCAGTTGGCTCTCTGCTCATTGGAACAGGCTACTGAGGTCAATGCTACTTGATTTCTCATGAGAAGAGAATTCCAAAGCTGGAAATAGCTTCTCTGGCTGGCTCCACCCTGCCAGCCTAAATCATCCACCAGGGTTCACGGACCGGAGACACAATAGTGCCCACCCCCACCTCTGGAAAAATACCCACAGGTTGTGACTTAATGACCAATGAGTCAGCTGCGTCTCTTTCTTTGCCAAGAATAGCACATTGTTTTTTCTTTTTGTTTTTATTTTTTAATCAGATAATCCCTCCATGAGACTAGGAAATGACAGATTTTATAGTGCATGATAGAAGTTCATGGTAGCAGGGGCAAGATTATTTGAACAAAATACAGAAAGTAAGAGAGAAAGAGAGAGAGAGAGCGCGCGTGAGTGAGCACGCACGCTAAGGACAAAGATTAATCATTTTCTGTTTACAAAATGGCTATGATTTGTAATTGTGGCACTCTCCACCTTTCTCTTTTCCTCTAAGACAGTGGTTGGCAAACTCATTAGTCAACAGAGCCAAATTTCAACAGTACAATAATTAAAATTTCTTTTGAGAGCCAAATTTTTTAAACTTCTAATGCCACTTCTTCAAAATAGACTTGCTGAGGCCGTGGTATTTTGTGGAAAAGTCACACTCAAGGGGCCAAAGAGCCGCATGTGGCTCCAGAGCCAAAGTTTGCCGATCACGGCTCTAAGAGATCTC